GAGCAGTTGTTGCGCATGCGCTGTTCATGTTGTATTACATAAATGTAATATAATGCTAGTCTAGGGAGGCACATACTACCTAACCACGCCTACTCTCTAACCCTAATCCTACACCCAACCCTAACACTAACACTAACTATAAACCGACTCGGTTTGCTTATATACGCGAGTGATAGAACCAAACACTGTCTATGGTGTATAACCACATACGCAACGCATGTATGCAGAGGCGTCACAGCCGTAGGGCTGCTGTAGCAAGACGCTACGGGCCACCAGCCTAAAGGGCAAAAAATCCTAAATCTAAAGGGTAAATAGCATTTTAGAGCGTCTAGATTTAAAAATTGTCTGGGGGGAGACCACCCAGACCCCCCCTTCACACTACCTACTTCCGGCACTCGTGCCGTGCGCCTGCGGCATGCTACATAAACAGCGCATGCGCAACAACTGTTCAGACGAATAGCGCATACGAACAGGTGTCCGATGCTCGGACGAATATCCATGTCGTATATTAGTACTAGTATACCTCTACTTGGTTGGGTTATATTATTGTACCTACACTATTTCCTACTTGTAGTTGTACCTCCTACCACTGCTCCTGGTACTGCCGCTGCCTGGTACTGGTAGTGGTTACTGGTAGTGCTAGTGTAGTACTACCACTATCACTCAACCAAGATTATTGAAGATTTTCATACTAGCCGACCACCCAGGCCAGGCCAGGCCAGCGTCGACAAGTTTCAGTGTAAATTTACACCAAAACGACGGCAATTGATAATTTAAAATAAACCATCTGCGAGACCTCGTATAGTAATTAAATGTACACGCAATTATAGAATTGAATCATTTTGATAACCTACCTGAGTGATAGATAACGCATCGAATGAAGTTACCGTCGTTTATAAACGGCACGCAAAGTCGCAAACTTGTTTTTCACGTGTGCTGCCATCTAGTGACTATAAAGGTCACAAAATAAGATCAGATCGCGGTGGTCCATTATCTTAGGATCAAATGAAACTGTTCTCCGCGAAACCCGCCTGGTTCACGACCTAGTGATTTTATACCTCCACCTCCCTCTCCAGCCACCTCTTCACTCTTCATCACAGAACGATAATTTTTAACTTCTCTAAATTTTCACTTCTAGATTTTTTCTCATAACTTACTAACTTCTCATACTCATAGTCGTAAGTCATATCATTATCACTACACTTTTTTCTCATATTTAATTTATATTATGCCTTCTGCCAGTTCTGCTCCACAATTTCGTCCCCCAGCTACTTCTTCTTGTTTTGCCGTCTAGTAATGTTCCTCCACATCCTTTGTCTCCTATCTAATCAGTGGCGTAACTAAGGTATGGCACGTGCCCTTGGTGCCACTTGAAGGGGGCGCCACTGAGCAGTTTCTATTAAAGTCAGCCAAGCCATCCTCGAATAGTGAAAAAAGAATTTTTGTTAGTTAAAAATACCGGTGGTGGGTAAGTCAAATTAACAAAATTAGCAACATTGAAAAGTCCCGTCGATCCTCATTATCGATTGCTTTGCAGCCTTGTGCAGCATACATTCATTCACAGTGCAGTAGTCCTATTATTATTTTAGTGAGTGGACACAAACCAGGGCCGGCGGAAGCAAATAAACATTGGTCAGGCCATTTAGCATCAATAACAGATGTCGACGAACAGCTGGCCGAAGGCCAGGTGCACACGGCGCAGCCGTGGCGGGGGCGCTCTAGGGGGGTTTCCCCCTTGTCAAAGACTCAAAGGGGGGTTTGGGGGTTCTCCCCCAAGAAATTTTAAAAATTTAAGACACCAAGATGCCTTTTTAGAGCTTAAAAATACTTTTCAAAACTCTAACAAATATATATTTATACTTCAGTATAGGCCTAATTATTTCGGCATCTGCCAATTTACATGTCAAATTTAATGTGTGTGCACGCACACGTGCGGGCATGCGTGCGTGCGTGTGCAGGTACACGTGTGTGCGTGCGTGCATGTATGTGCACGGAGACGTGCGTGCGTGCGTGCGTGCGTGCGTGCGTGCGTGCGTGTGCACGTACACCTGCGGTGCATGCCATGCGTGGTGTGTCAGAGTGCGAATGCGGGTTCACGTACACTGTCGTGCGTGACACCGGCGACGCGGTGTGTGGCAGGTACACGTGTTGTGCGTGCGTCGTGCAGCAGTACAGACGTGCGTGCGAGAGCGTGCGGCGTGCTATGCACATACACGTGCGGTGCCACGTGCGCTGTGCACTTCACCATGCGTTTCCCCTGCATGCGTGCGTACGTGCGATGCGCTGCGTGTGCAGGCCAACGTCATGTGCAATTGCGCGCGTGACAGTGCGTGCGTGCATGGATGTTGGATGTACACGTGCGCGCGTGCGTACCCTGCTATGCACGTACACAGGCCGGCTGCATGTGAACTTACACGTGCCGTGCTGCGTGCGTGCTGTGATGCCGTGCGTGTTCCACGTACACGTGCGTGCGTGCGTGTGTGGTGCAGGTACAAGTGTGATGCGGGTGGTGGCACGCTGCACCTACACGTGCGTGCGAATGGGTACGCGAGCCGTGGTATGCACATACACGTGCGGTGCGTGCGTGTGCACGTACACCTGCGTGCATAGCGTGCGTGCGGTGCCAGCACACGTAATGTGCATGCGCGCGTGGTCCGTGCGTCGCGCTGCCATGCGTCATTGGATGCTACACGTGCGCGCGGCGTACCTGGCTCATCACGGTACACATGCGTTGCATGTGACTTACACGTGCGGCTGGCTGCACACCACGCCTGGTGGAGGTGCGTGAGAACGTGTTCACGTACACATGCGTGCGTGTGTGTGCAGGTACACGTACGTGCGTGCGTGCATGTATGTGCACGTAGACGTGCGTGCGTGCGTGCGTGTGCACGTACACGTGCGTGCATGCGTGCGTGTGCACGTACACGTGTGTGCGTGCGTGTGCACGCAGCACGTACACGTGCGTGCATGAGTGAGTGTGTGCGTGCGTGCGTGCGTGCGTGCGTGTGCTTGTATCGAACAATATCACGCATCGGATTGCTGCCAACCGTTAAACTGCGCATGTGCGCATATGACGTCAATGTTTATAAACATAAAAACAACGTCATGTAGTAGTATATATGCGTGTATACATAAACTACATGTGATTTCAGATCATTATATGCTCGGGATTGCAATAATTGTAGATCCGGCCTGTGCATAACGAAAATGTGTGCTTGAAATTTAAGCCCTGTCTACACTAGCAAACTTTAGTTTGCAAACTCGAGCAAACTCGAGCAAACTCCGAGTTTGCTCGAGTTTGCTCGAGTTTGCAAACTAAAGTTTGCTAGTGTAGACAGGGCTTATAACGAACAAACAACACGAGGCCTGTGTAGGACACGCTGTTACAATGTAACAATCAATTCTCGTCCCTGGAAATGGTCCGATTACGAGACCCCGCACTAACAATAGTAACATGAGTGTCAGAAGTGAGAGTCACCGTCAGATTAGTACAGAATAAAAAAAGTTCTGGCAGTATAGTGAGAATAAAGTGAGAAACAATTAATTTAGCATTGTGTAAAGTTTTTATTTATTTCCATAAAATTAACCGTTTAAACCAGGTCAATGGGACTGTCACTAAATTAGTTTAAATCATTTTACAAATCAATGACAGCTAAATTGAGATTTGAGGATTTAAACTGATTTTTCTCGAGAAATCGGGTCTATAAGTTAGTTATGTGGCAAAAAGTTACTCAAAAACCATTAGTTCATGTCTAAAAATACTATTTCAAAGTGCTGGGAAATCGCACCTGGAACCATTAAATTTTCAAAAATGTTCTGGAGGAAGACCCCCACACCCCCCTTAGGTGCTTCGTGCTTAGCCGCGTTAGCGCGGGCGGCTTCGCCGCTAAATCCTATATGTCTATAGTATGAAAATCCACAGCTGTAGCACTAAGAACCCCCCCCCTCCAACAGACACACTTAGCTGGCTACGACCCTGTATATTATAGTAAAGATATCTAAAAGATGGGTATCAGATGTTTGGACAGGTGCGCAATTTCAGTGCTCGCCATAGGCGCTATTCTCCGTCAGTATGCCCTGTATCTAATAGTTCCTCGGCCCTCTGCCTGACCGCATTCTCATCTGTGTCTTCTCACCTCAATTAATCTACTCATTACCTCACAGTCACCACTTCCACCAGTTCCACTTTCTGCACAATTTACACCATCTAATTTTCCGTCGCACCCACTTTCTAGCGTGGGTGTTTCAAATATCATGCATGATCAACACCACTTTCGTCTACAAATGTCGTCGTTATATCTATCTGCTCCGAATTATACTAAATGAAGTTACCATGTAGCAGTTACAGCAGTTTCAGAGTTCCGGGCCATAATTTTGTTTGAATGGGGGCAAAATACTGGGAGGTCTTGGGGGTTTACCAGAAACGGGTACCGGTATATAAAAAGTTAAATTAACATTAATACTTGACACAATCTTAGAAGCAAAGAGAAAGCCTACATGATCAATCATTGCATATAAAGAAGGTGAGCAATAACCACTTTCTTGCCTCTGTGAATCCAGATATAAAGGTGCAACATTGCTAGACAATGCTACTACCACAAACGTCAAACTAATGAGCAACGTAGTTGCGTTTCTATGAAGCTACTTCAAATGCTAAAAACCTCACCAATCGAGTCTACAGAAGTTATAGCCACTCTCTTCCATGAATAACACCGCCTATTACAAAATCGAATAATTCGTACAAAATCCTTACATAACTTGTTCTATAACGATGCCTCATCATTTTGAAACCATCGGTCATACAGTTGTAATACCTGTTTTCAAAGACGTTTCTAGCAGGGACACAAATGTAGTAATGCTTTTGAATATTGTGTTAATAAACATTCAACAAGACATTTAAAGACCAATGATGAGGAAGACCAAGGTGAATAAAGGTAGTGTAAGCATAAGAGGGAAATAGATTGGTTGACATCACACCAGAATAACAACCAAGAATCATAAACTTCAAGAATCAATGTACAGTTTTATTTGTATTCCTCAAAACAGTTATGCTACATTTACGAGATGACACTCTGCTATAACTATGCTATACGTATATAACAGGTCGAAATGTTAAAGAAGCCTTCACAAAAAATTTGTTATTTCTGTAACATTTGTTAAAATACCAAAAATAACATTACCTGAACATAAGCTTTGTAAATAAAACTATAAAAATTGCTGGTAACACTGTGTCATAACTGTGTGGAAACGAGTAAAAAGCAGCAATAATAAAACCTTTCAGCATATCTGTAGCAATCATACATATATATATGCAAGTGCAAATATACTGTTTAAAATAATTAGCTTGTATCAGTTTTTTGTTTGCTGGTACAAATTTCCTGCAAAGGCATCATTAAATATTAGAGTATACCCTGTATATGTGCATGTGCATAGTCTGATTACTGAATAGAATACATATGCACAGAGAACAATGTACCTAATCATGAACAACATGCAGTGCGTAAATATATATGGTATATGGCCATAATATTTTTGTCTCTGATCGAACATACACACAAGTTACTATATGAATCTATGCTACAGTAAATACAAGCAGTTGAGTTCTGATGGGGTATAGTGAGGCGTGAAATAGTAAGAAATTGAAATATTTACTGAATAATGACAATTGCCCCAATTTCATCATGAGAATTGAGTAAAGGTCCAAATATTAATTCCTTACTGAGATCTGAAGTACCCATCATGACCCTCACGTATAGCAACATGCAACATACACAACAGATAATATGCACTTATAGACAGGAAATATTTCAATGAAAAAATTTTGCTTACCAATAATATAATAAATTGTGATAACTCAGCTCACTTGTTCGCAGGATAAACAGGACATGATTAATATATCTATATATCATGTATTAATGTAATAACGATATATATATATATATATAATATCAGGAGTTAATAAAGACAACAATAAGAACAATAAGAAAGTTTGTCTTTATTAACTACTGATAATATATATATGTGTAATTTTGAATAAGTGATTCTATGAGAGTGAAACTAGAGACAACTACTACAACATCAGCTCATGCAGCCTATAATTGAAATTTCATTGCCAAAACTTCATAAATTCAACGTAATCAGGATTTTTTAGACAACTGTGATGACTGAACTTTCTTGAGATGTAATTCACTGAGGCATATGCTGGGCAGAGCTCCAGTTTTCTGTCGCAGTTGGTGGTCTGGCATCATTGGAAGATGCCATTGGTGTATTCCACTTTCCTATTGAATTAGTTTTTATCTGTTCCTGGTGTGGGTTTCCCCAGCTCTCTGTACCGCTTGAGTTGTTTCTCCCTAAACCTTGCTGCTCTTGGTTTGGCAAGTAATCCATGATAAAGTCAGATTTCTTATCCTGTTGCTCCCAGCCAGATTCTGCATGCCACACAGGTAATTCTTTGGACTGGGTCCACCCTAACTCCCGCTCCCATCCACCTTCTGCCTGGTGTAAGCCATCTGCTCCACTCGGATCCAAAGTAGGACCACCTGAGCCTACCCTGCTTTCCTGATCCTTGTGTTTTTTGCTCTCCATATGCTGATTTCTCTGCTTGAGGGAATTCAACGACACGTTACATATGGTGCAATTATACCTCATAATCTGGTCTCTGGCCGAGAGTGGCTGCTGCTCTGCGAAGTTGGTCAGATATTGATCGACCTTTGACTGATTGGTCGGATCCGTCTCACTGCTGTTTGCATCCATCCACTCCTCCTGGGGTCGCTTGTAGTAATACGGTTGCCCTGGTCTGCTGCCGAACGGCTGACTCGCGGCTTGCGATGGTTTAGATGATTTCGCCTTCCACTGCTTCGGGGGCTCGCCGTTGACCCGATCCCTGTGCTTCTGACTGCCCATGTGCTGCTCATACTGAATGACAGAGTTGGTAGCAACGTCGCACACCTTGCAGAACAGATTTCCGGTCACGTTAAGCGACAGAGCTTCTTGCCCCACGGACGCACCGGCGACCCGGGTAGCTGCCTTGCCCGCGGGAGGATTCCCCTGCTTCGAAGTCTCGTCAGCTGACTTCCCCGACCTGCCGCCCGCCAGGTGGCGCCTACTGGATAAGTGCTGCTGCAGTTGGCAGGCCGAGTTTACGGTGACGTCGCATGAGCTGCAGTAGAACCAGCCATTCTCCAGCATGCTGCCAGTACCAGGGGGACCGGACTGCGACTGTCGGGTCGGATGGATGTAGGGAGGGAGTGGCATGCCAGGCTGCTGAGAAGGCTGCGGCTTTTCGCTAATGGTCGGATTTGTCGGCTTGCTGTGCTTCTGCGCGGAGATGGGTGCGACAGTCGGACTAGCAGTTCCCGACTTGTTCTGCTGCTCTAGCGCGCGTTGGTGCTTTCCCCCGAGCAGGTGCTGCTCCAACTGAGACTTGGAGTTGAGGCTGACACCGCACACATCGCAGAGAAAGGACGCCACTGAAGGTTTATCGTCACCCACCTGCAGAGCCTTTTTCAGCTGGATTCTCTGCTGCTCAGCTTTGTCGTTGACGTGACCGTCTGCACCGCTGTTGGTTTCGCCCGGAGCGTTTGTGACGGTGTCCACTGAGGTTACTGTTGTGCCGCTGGTCTCAGCCTTGACCCCTGCATCGTTAGCAGAACCAACCGTTTTCCCTTCTGTATCAGCCATCCCAGTGCTGATCAAAGGTAGTGTAAACGTCTCGTCAATTCTGCAAGAGAATCAAGGAAGTGAAATAAATACTTCACCATATTGGGTTACACAGTTTGGATGGAAATTATACACAGAGCATATAAGACATAACAGATAGATTACAATAACGTTTAATATAACTTTATTAATGTATACGTATGACTTAAGGGTTTATTGCGAAAATATTGCACAGAAACGCTCAATCTGAAAAAAATATAGCGAAATATAATCGCACCTCACAGCGGATATATATTACTGATTACACCAACTTGAAAAACACTAAGAATTTATGCAGTTATAGCAGAGAAAATTGGATTTGAATACATCGTAACGCCATGTCATATTTGATTATAGCGAGAATCAATTTACAAATGACGCCTTAGTCAGAATGGTTAAACTTGTAAATTGTTGGTTCACTAACTTAGTTACAAGTGCACCCATTCCGCAACCAATTCAAACAACTGGACATCTAATTCTGTGTAGTTGACTCCGTTTATCTTTTAAGATTCAGATTTGCAAGAAATGGTAGCGGTAATCAAAGCGAGTAATCAAAACTCGAATCTTGCATGTTTTGGTGAATATAGCACAATTCATTATTCACAATCATATTCAATTCTGTCATTCCAATATTGGAATTCCCTACCTTCTTTTTTGGTTAATTGTAAAATTGAAACTTTTCCCACTGCAATCTGCAGTGTTTATCTATCAATTCGATCAACTTTGTCTCTTTCTGTCTTCGATATAGTATAGTCTCTTGGCCTTTGAAGCCTAATCATTATGAGGTAAAACACCTTGGTATATATATATAGCAGAAGTAATTGGGCACTAGTATAATATGCAAGATAATTATACCTCTGTGGTCTAATGTTAAAAAACTTCAGGTTATTCATAAAATACTTAAAATAAAATTGCACTGTACAGTATACATATAATTCTCTATAATGTGATAGCAACTCTAGGGCCAATAAAATATTATAGACAATTTCCCGAATGTTGTCAAATGGAATTTAAAAGACGACATTTTCCATGTTTTCCATCGCTTCAAAAGGAACTCATGTGTTAAATTTACATCAATATGATCACACATCCTAACGTACCCATACATGCACACACACAAACACGTGCACACTCACACAGGCACACTCATTGTCTCATACACTCACATGCACAGGCACTTGAAACGTATCAATTAAAAAAAATAATGGTAAATAAGCATGAAAATGTATTTACTACCAAAGTCTTAATGTTTCTCTACTTTATTTCGGCTATTATTGCCGATAATTACCCGTAAATGCCGGTCAAATGCTCATCTGCAACACACAAGTACACCGCGCGCCCGCCCAGTGCACAAAAACATAAATAAGAGAACAGGTAGGAAAGCGTGATCGCAAAATTCGCTCGACGCTCGCTTCATTTCACACGACTACAGAACGAAAACACACCAAACAGCCTCCATCTTGGTATCTATCTGTAGCTAAATGTTCACTTGTTCGAATTATAACTCTGTCCTTTCTTCTTACCTACTCCTGCCAGAGATATCTCGTGAAATCCTGCAGGAAATGTTCTCTCCGTGAAAATGTAAAGAGGACAAGATGTCTGTTTATACACAAGTAATGCGGCGCATTGCATGCCGGGATGAGCTGCTGCCTGCCTTCGAGCCTCAGTTTCGAGGCCCGCCAAGCCAAGCATAATGCGCGCGGGCATGACGTCACACACACAACTACAGTGATCGATCGAAAGTAGCGCCGTTAGGGGTTTTCGGATAATACGTCCTCTACATTTTCACGGGGAGAACATTTCCTGCAGGATTTCACGAGATATCTCTGGCAGGAGTAGGTAAGAAGAAAGGACAGAGTTATAATTCGAACAAGTGAACATTTAGCTACAGATAGATACCAAGATGGTGGTGTGTTTTCGTTCTGTAGCCGTGTGAAATGAAGCGAGCGTCGAGCGAATTTTGCGATCACGCTTTCCTGCCTGCTCTCTTATTCATGTTGTTTGTGCACAGGGTGGGCGTGCGGTGTACTTGTGTGTTGCAGATGAGCATTTGACCGGCATTTACAGGTAATTATCGACAATAATAGGCGAAATAGAGTAGAGAAACATTAAGACTTTGGTAGTAAATATATTTCGTGCTTATTTACCTTCTTTTTTTTTTAATTGAGACGTTCCAAGTGCCTGCATGTGCTCACATGCACATGCCCACGCACACACAAATAATCCTTTGACAGCCTGGACAACAAATAACAACTGATTTTACACAGGAAATGTGTGAAAAATGGGGTGTTGCACCACAAATTGTCGTCCCTGCACAAATTGTCGTTGGCGACAATTTGTGCAAAATTTTGCAAAAAACCTCACACCACAAATTGTCGCCTCCTGCACAAATTGTCGTTGGCGACAATTTGTGCTGCTCTTGCCGTTCCCAATTATTAATCTCACTGGCGACAATTTGTGCGGGGCAAACTGAAACCTAACTCCACAAATTGTCGCCGCTTGCACAAATTGTCGTCAGTCGCTGTCTTCAAGCTACAGAAGATAATGACGATTACAAAGATGATGATGATGATGATGATGATGATGATGATGATGATGATGATGATGATAATGATGATGATAATAATCAGTGTTGGGGGACTCGAGGCCGGCCTCGGCGTCCATACATACATACATGCGTACACGCACGCACACGCACACACCCACACCACACACACCCACACCACACACACCCACGTACCACGTGTGCACACACACACACACACACACTCTCATGGCTTTGAACAGGATCGTATGTGCTTCGATGGCTGGCGACAATTTGTGGTGTCAGCTCCCCCACAAATTGTCGTCGGCGCCGACGACAATTTGTGAGGGAGGCAACAATTTGTGGTGCGAGGCTTTGCAAAATTTTGCACAAATTGCCGCTGACGAACATTTGGGGTGACAGGGTGGAAGGGGACGACAATTTGTGGTGCAACAGTGGGTCTCCGGTGCGAAAATTTAGAGGTTAAAATGGGGGGTCAAAACCGCGGCCCGTACCTATATGGCCTACCTGCCATACTGTCATACATAATATTAGTATTACATTGAATGATTGATTATATATTAATTATTATATGGTAATATGATTAATGGAGTGCCCCCCCCCCCACACCACCAGCACCAGGATGGAAAGTGAGGCCACACAGAATACGATTAGGTTTGATGTTAATTGTTACGATCAGGTTAGGGGTGACAATTTAAAGTAAAATTAGGTAAAAACTTACACTCTAAACTATTATTATTTCATAAACGGCCAAGATCATCTGTGGTTGGGTCTACGAGTACCGAGATTTTCCTTATTTTCCAGTTCATGATTAGGAATATTTTTGTCTTTGCTCTGACCGATCACTAGTATTACTACAAAAAGCACGATACTAATAGTAGTAGTATGAAGTTGACATACAGCACAAGCTATTTCTTTCCAGAATTATATATGTTTACCAAGCCCAAGTCTAATTATTGCTTGGGAAAATTGACGGCTTGAGATTATCTTCTCATCCAGTTGCGTTGAAAATTGGACGAAACACAAGAGCAGCTTCTTCTTTGTCAAGTATCGTATGGTATCGTTCAGATTCAGGCCACTGGCCGTGAGTACACAATGTGACACAATCACCCACAGAACTAAGACTAAGAGCGTAAACATGAGATCTATGCAAATACTAAAATGATAAAAGAGCAAAAATTAATACGGAAATGCTACATATACATAAAATACACAACTTATAATTAAGTACAAGCATAATCACAGAGCTGTATATAATAATTAATAATAATATATGCACAATATATACATAATATGCATAATATATATACTAGCTATATACCAAAACAAATAGGTATGCAAAACAAAGCGCCATGTAGACTGGTACCCGTTCGCCACCTTCTCTCCGGCATATATCCTTCGCTACACGGACGTTATTCCCACTTACATATCCCACGCAACACTTCGTTAGTGTAGCGCAGTGGCGTAGACAGGTCCTCAGTTGTGGGGGCTGTTACTTCCATCGCAATGTATATGAAGAGTGTGCGCGATGAGCGCACACCGCGAGCGCCTTGGCGCAAAGCCCTTAATGGGTGGGGTCCAGGGGGCGGAGCCCCCGGAAGCGCTTGGATTTTAGCAATTTAGAACCTTCAAGATGGCCGTTTTTGAGGGAATTGAAAAAAATTGATATTATAAGTGCAATTTTGTGAATTCTAGGGTAATTTTTTTCTTTGGATCCCAGAGGTTTAATAACACGCACCCCCCCCCCCCACACAACCAGTGGCGGATCCAGAAGAAAATTCTAGGGGGGAATCATGTGAGCTCAAGGGCACAAAGCGCCCGGGGGGAAGGGGGGGGGGTTGGAGGGGGTGTCCCCCTCCCACTGTGTGGAATTGTTAAAATGTTGCAATCTAAAAGCAATCAATTTTGGACATCTTTATCATAGAATATCAGGATTTTTCTTCCTTCAGGGCGTGCCTCTCTCCTGTTTAGGGTGGGGGTCCGGGGATTTTATTGAAAGTAACACCTCTTCGATGCAACTTTCTGCACTATGAGGCAGCACTATTAAACAATCTTCATCACAATAACATCACTGTTGAGTTGAGTATTGACACCAAAGACTAAAATACTTTGATCTAAATATACTAAAATACTACCAAATCTGTGCTATGTACATGTCCTCACTGGGGTTACCAGTGCAGACTTACCTAGGCTAAAATACCTTTGCCCTAAAAATTTTAGGGGGGGAGGGGCGACCGCCCCGTGCTACCAACTCCCCCGTTGACAACAACAGCACTGGAATCATCTCCCCAGAAATTTTGATAAAACGTATATTTTACTGAGAACGTTAAAACTGCAAAAAAATATGAGAAAAACAACCAGATTTGAACCAAAAAGTGCATATTTTCACCCCTTATACAAAATCAGGATTATATTTCCGGTCGGGTCTCAGCACCCCCATCCCCCCAAAAAAGTGAGATGAAATTGAATTCTCCCATTCAATCCCCGTGAAAATTCAATATCCCAACTCTCAATAGGTCTATTCTAATTTTGAATAAAGCAAGGATTTAACTTTCGTGAGCAGTGATAAGACTTTGGGAATTTTGAAAAAAAAATCGTATATACAAAATTAACCGTCTGTGTTTCAGTAAAATAATGTCATTCTTGGAACGAGTTACAGCCATTTTACAGTAGATGTATGTCCCGTTCCATTTCTGTAATTTAATACATTAGGAGAGTATGAATAGCGATGACGGATTTGTAGATAAATATCAGTATTTATTGTCTGTAAAATATTATTTTTCCCCCTATTTTCTTCCTGAAAGTAGGGGGGATCTAAGCCACCCACCGCAATAAGTGTGGGGGGATATACCCCCATCCCCCCGCTATCTATGCCCCTGTCAGATGAACTCAAATTTGACTTTTGATATGCATACAAATATTCATAATCATAATCTTTGTTAGCAGTACTCTACAGGCGCCGCGGAACGATTTTTGAAGTGGGGGTGCTCAATTTGACCAATTTGTTACGCTCCACAGTGGCCAATGCAGGTTTTCGAGAAGGGTTGTAAGAAACAGGCGGGGTATGCGGGTCCTCCCCCAGAAAATTTTGAATCCCCCATTTTCCTCC